CTGAGGTACAGGGTCTCCAGGTTTATCACTGCCTGAGGTACAGGGTCTCCAGGTTTATCACTGCCTGAGGTACAGGGTCTCCCGGTTTATTCACTGCCTGATGTACAGGGTCTCCAGGTCTTATCAATGCCTGAGGTACAGGGTCTCCAGGTTTATCTGTCACTGCCTGAGGTACAGGGTCTCCAGGTTTATCAATGCCTGAGGTACAGGGTCTCCAGGTTTATCTGTCACTGCCTGAGGTACAGGGTCTCCAGGTTTATCACTGCCTGAGGTACAGGGTCTCCAGGGTTTATCACTGCCTGAGGTACAGGGTCTCCAGGTTTATCACTGCCTGAGGTACAGGGTCTCCGGGTTTATCACTGCCTGAGGTACAGGGTCTCCGGGTGTATCACTGCCTGAGGTACAGGGTCTCCGGGTTATCACTGGCCTGAGGTACAGGGTCTCCGGGTTTATCACTGCCTGAGGTACAGGGTCTCCGGGTTTATCACTGCCTGAGGTACAGGGTCTCCGGGTTTATCACTGCCTGAGGTACAGGGTCTCCAGGTTTATCACTGCCTGAGCTACAGGGTCTCCAGGTTTATCACTGCCTGAGGTACAGGGTCTCCAGGTTATCACTGCCTGAGGTACAGGGTCTCCAGGTTTATCACTGCCTGAGGTACAGGGTCTCCAGGTTTATCACTGCCTGAGGTACAGGGTCTCCGGGTTTATCACTGCCTGAGGTACAGGGTCTCCAGGTTTATCACTGCCTGAGGTACAGGGTCTCCAGGTTTATCTGTCACTGCCTGAGGTACAGGGTCTCCAGGTTTATCACTGCCTGAGGTACAGGGTCTCCAGGTTTATCTGTCACTGCCTGAGGTACAGGGTCTCCAGGTTTATCACTGCCTGAGGTACAGGGTCTCCAGGTTTATCACTGCCTGAGGTACAGGGTCTCCAGGTTTATCACTGCCTGAGGTACAGGGTCTCCAGGTTTATCACTGCCTGAGGTACAGGGTCTCCAGGTTTTCTGTCACTGCCTGAGGTACAGGGTCTCCAGGGTTTATCAATGCCTGAGGTACAGGGTCTCCAGGTTTATTTCACTCACTGCCTGAGGTACAGGGTCTCCAGGTTTATCACTGCCTGAGGTACAGGGTCTCCAGGTTTATCACTGCCTGAGGTACAGGGTCTCCAGGTTTATCACTGCCTGAGGTACAGGGTCTCCAGGTTTATCACTGCCTGAGGTACAGGGTCTCCAGGTTTATCACTGCCTGAGGTACAGGGTCTTCCGGTTATCACTGCCTGAGGTACAGGGTCTCCGGTTTATATCACTGCCTGAGGTACAGGGTCTCCGGGTTTATCACTGCCTGAGGTACAGGGTCTCAGGGTTTATCACTGCCTGAGGTACAGGGTCTCCGGGTTTATCACTGCCTGAGGTACAGGGTCTCCGGGTTTATCACTGCCTGAGGTACAGGGTCTCCAGGTTTATCACTGCCTGAGGTACAGGGTCTCCAGGTTTATCACTGCCTGAGGTACAGGGTCTCCGGGTTTATCACTGCCTGAGGTACAGGGTCTCCAGGTTATACTCACTGCCTGAGGTACAGGGTCTCCGGGTTTATCACTGCCTGAGGTACAGGGTCTCCAGGTTTTTCACTGCCTGAGGTACAGGGTCTCCCAGGTTTATCACTGCCTGAGGTACAGGGTCTCCAGGTTTATCACTGCCTGAGGTACAGGGTCTCCAGGTTTATCACTGCCTGAGGTACAGGGTCTCCGGGTTTATCACTGCCTGAGGTACAGGGTCTCCAGGTTTATCACTGCCTGAGGTACAGGGTCTCCGTGTTTATCACTGCCTGAGGTACAGGGTCTCCGGGTTATCACTGCCTGAGGTACAGGGGTCTCCAGGTTTATCACTGCAGGGGGGGTCACTGCCTGAGGTACAGGGTCTCCGGGTTTATCACTGCCTGAGGTACAGGGTCTCCGGGTTTCACTGCCTGAGATACAGGGTCTCCAGGTTTATCACTGCCTGAGGTACAGGGGTCTCCGGGGTTTATCACTGCCTGAGATACAGGGTCTCCAGGTGTATCACTGCCTGAGGTACGGGTCTCCAGGTTTATCACTGCCTGAGGTACAGGGTCTCCAGGTGTATCACTGCCTGAGGTACAGGGTCTCCAGGTTTATCACTGCCTGAGGTACAGGGTCTCCAGGTTATCTTTCATGCCTGAGGTACAGGGTCTCCAGGTTTATCACTGCCTGAGGTACAGGGTCTCCAGGTTTATCACTGCCTGAGGTACAGGGTCTCCAGGTTTCATCACTGCCTGAGGTACAGGGGTCTCCAGGTTTACTGTCACTGCTGAGGTACAGGGTCTCCAGGTTTATCAATGCCTGAGGGTACAGGGTATCCAGGTTACTGTCACTGCCCTGAGGTACAGGGTCTCCAGGTTTATCACTGCCTGAGGTACAGGGTCTACCAGGTTTGTCATGCCTGAGGTACAGGGTTCTCCAGGTTTATCTGTCACTGCCTGAGGTACAGGGTCTCCAGGTTTATCGCACTGCCTGAGGTACAGGGTCTCCAGGTTTATCACTGCCTGAGATACAGGGTCTCCAGGTTTATCACTGCCTGAGGTACAGGGTCTCCAGGTTTATCACTGCCTGAGGTACAGGGTCTCCAGGTTTATCACTGCCTGAGGTACAGGGTCTCCGGGTTTATCACATGCCTGAGGTACAGGGTCTCCGGTTTTCACTGCCTGAGGTACAGGGTCTCCAGGTTATCATACTGCCTGAGGTACAGGGTCTCCGGGTTTATCACTGCCTGAGGTCTAGGGTCTCCAGGTTTATCAATGCCTGAGGTACAGGGTCTCTGGGTTTATCACTGCCTGAGGTCTAGGGTCTCCAGGTTTATCAATGCCTGAGGTACAGGGTCTCCAGGTTTATCACTGCCTGAGGTACAGGGTCTCCAGGTTTATCTGTCACTGCCTGAGGTACAGGGTCTCCAGGTTTATCACTGCCTGAGGTACAGGGTCTCCGGGTTTATCACTGCCTGAGGTACAGGGTCTCCGGGTTTATCACTGCCTGAGATACAGGGTCTCCATGTTTATCACTGCCTGAGGTACAGGGTCTCCGGGTTTATCACTGCCTGAGATACAGGGTCTCCATGTTTATCACTGCCTGAGGTACAGGGTCTCCGGGTTTATCACTGCCTGAGGTACAGGGTCTCCAGGTGTATCACTGCCTGAGGTACAGGGTCTCCAGGTTTATCACTGCCTGAGGTACAGGGTCTCCAGGTTTATCACTGCCTGAGGTACAGGGTCTCCAGGTTTAGCTGTGGCTCACCAATCAGCCTGCTAACCCTCAGATCTGACTCAGAGAGTTTCTGCTCCTTAAAGTCAGGTTCCCAAACCATGACATTAGTGAAAAAGACAGAATCGACTCGATAAAAGCTCGATAAAATATGGTCGTCATGGTTTTGTCAATGTTCAAATAGGACAGTTTCCTAAGACAGTACAAACGCTGCTTCCCACTTTTGCACACAACTTCGATCAGAGCTCAATTTTGAGTTAATAATTGTCCCGAGATATTTGTATGATTGCACAAATTCTACTTTCTGATTCTGGATTGTTAAGACTTCATGGTCTCTGCTTTTAACCCATCCTAGTACTGTCAAACAAGACGAGGTGTGTGAACGTGCGGATGGTTAAAGCTGAAATAGGGATGATTTTTTTTTAGGTAAGAAAATACACTTCTCCTCTCACTAAAACACAAAGAGAGGCTGCAATAAGATCAGCATTTGGGAACACTCCGAATGTTTTCCCGGGGGCAGAGATTACAGTGTGATTGGAAAAAGAGATGGAGCATCCAATCTTACAATTGCTTAATTTGCCCCAAATGTAATTCTGGTGTCTGGCACAGGCAGGATGTTTTATATTACAGTGAATTACAAACGTGTTCACGAAAAGCTCTCCACCCGGAGGAAATGGGACCATAAAGTGACCCCCCCCCCCCCCCCCCCCCCCCCCCCCCCCCATTAGACACTAAAGATAGAGCTGAGCGCACAGTTTACTGTATATTATATTAATAATAATAATACATGTTGTAAACCGTATTCCTCCATCTTGTGACTGTGTAACTCCCTCTCTTAGATATCAGCATGTGAAGGACACTGGTCAGGAACTAGTTGATGCTCTGTATGTGATGACTACTTCCATCCTTGAGAGGATCACAAATACATGGATCCTGAGATTGAAGCTCAAGCCGGGGACGAGTGATTAGAAAAAGTCAGAATTTTGAGGGAAAGTCAAAATTTTTAGAAAAAGTCAGAATTTTGAGAAAAGTCAGAATTTTGAGAGAAAGTCAACATTTTTAGAAAAAGTTAAAAAAAATTGAAAAGTAAGAATTTTTGAGAAAAAGTCAACATTTTGAGAAAAAGTCAACATTTTGAGAGAAAGTCAGAATTTTGAGAGAAAGTCAGAATTTTGAGAGAAAGTCAGAATTTTTAGAAAAAGTAAAAAAAATTGTGAAAAGGTAAAAGTTTTTGAGAAAAAGTAAGAATTTTGAGAAAAAATCAGAATTTTTGGGAAAACTCAGAATTTTGAGATTTTCAGAAAAAAGCCAACATTTCGAAAAAAAACTCAGTATTTTGAACATGACAGGATGTATGATTACCTAGAAGAGCATCAGGACTGTTTTAGGCATATGATAGCTATGTGATTAACATGATGATTCAGCCTCTATGGAGATAGACATATGACAAGCATGATCATTTCTGACGTGGAGCTAATCTGAAGTAAACATTGAATACTGCTTTCTATTCCTCCATCTTGTGACTGTGTAACTCCCTCTCTTGGATATCAGCATGTGAAGGACACTGTTCAGGAACTAGTTGATGCTCTGTATGTGATGACTACTTCCATTCTGGAGAGGATCAGAAATACATGGATCCTGAGATTGAAGCTCAAGCCGGGGACCAGTGATATTTTCCTAACAAAAACCTTTGAATCTTTGTATCTTGAATCCAAAGTGTGAGTACTGACCGATATCCCAGAGTCCAGCGCTTTCTATTTCCTTGCGTCCGATGAAGTACCAGACGCAGGCCATCCAGTGGGCCAGCAGGGCGAACATGGACATGAGGAGCGTGAGAACCACCGCGCTGTACTGGGAGTATCGCTCCAACTTCTGCAGGAGGCGCAGCAGCCGGAGGAGGCGCACCGTCTTCAGGAGGTGGACACCAAAGTACTGAAGGAGAGGGAAACAAGGTTCAAGGTTCAAGGTTCAAGGTTCAAGGTTGGTTTATTTGTATAGCACATTTTAAGACACAGAGGCAATTCAAAGTGCTTCACATACTGTAGGCATTTAACACATAATAATTTAAAACAAATCAAACACAATTTAAAAAAGACAATTCATAAAAGCGATAAAATACTTTTTTAAGATTATCGAGGCCTACAAAGACACCCTAATGATCCTTCAGTGTGAGCTCTAACAGCAGATTGGCTCGGTGCCATTTGTCTGTCTGTTAATCATCAATTTTAATGAGATGTTGATCTAATAAATTCACATGGGAGCCAACAGCATCATGCATCCATGTTCCCTGTCTCCTCATTTGGCCTGCAGCCACAGTGTGTTGGAGTCTTCTCTAACTGTGTTTTTTCATTTCAGTTTTATTTTAATGTATGCACCATGACATCAAGTCAAATTCCTCGTACGTGTCAACCTACCTGGTAATAAACCTGATTCTCATTCTGATTCTCATTCTGATAATGAATGCAGGAGATGGAGTGTGTGTTTTTCTTTTCCCAGGAATAGAATATATATTTATAGTCATCATACAAAGTACAACGACATTTCTTCGGCAACTCTCACTGCAGTAAAAAATAGACACAAATAAATAAATAAGAGTGGTAAAAGCAGAGGTAGTAGCGATGACAGTGATAACATTCAATGTCAATGTGCATATTTACTTACAGTCTAAATATATATCAGTAAAATAGCCATAAGTATTTCTAAAATAGTAGTGGTTGCAGTCTTTGAGGGGTGGAGTTGTGTGTGTGGTGTGTGTGGTGTGTGTGTGTGTGTGTGTGTGTGTGTGTGCGTGTGTGTGTGTGTGTGTCTGTGTGTGTGTGTGTGTGTGTGTGTGTGTGTGTGTGTTTGTGTGTGTGTGTGTGTGTGTGCGTGTGTGTGTGTGTGTGTGTCTGTGTGTGTGTGTGTGTGTGTGTGTGTGTGTGTGTGTTCACAGTTGTTGTAATGTGCTCTGAGGATGGACAGGGATGGGAGTGATGGAGGCCACAGCTGTCGGATAGAAGCTGTTCCTCAGTCTGTTGGTGTGTGATTTTATTGTCCTGAACCGTTTGCCAGATGGAAGTGAGTCAAACAGAAGAAGAGGGAATCAAGAAGTGTGATTGGTCAATCTGTGGATGTAAACACTCACCACGCTGACGTTGAAGGCGTACAAAAGGTCAAAGGGCAGCGCGGCGATCAGATCCACGAACAGCCAGGTGGTGACGTAGTGAACGCAGATGGAGCGAGCGTCGTACACCACCTGACCCGACGTGCTCACAAACGTGGTCCGAAAGTTCAGAAGGATGTCTGCAGAGGACGAGAAACATCAGAAAAGAGTTTACTGCCAAGTTCACATATATGGGATTTGGGTATTTGTATAATGGTTGCTACTTTAACAGAGTAAGAGGAATTACATTGTGAAAAAAAGGAGGTAATATTGCACTAAAAAGAGAAATAATTATTAATATTTTAAATAAAAAAATTAGAATAAATGTTTGCAAGAAATATAAAAATATAAAAAAGTGAGTTAACAAATACAATTAAAATAAATAAATAAAACATTACAAAAATGTGTCGGGGATTCCCTCTGATGACAGTGACGTATGTGGCCTTATATGGTGATGTGGATGCGCTCTAGGGGCACCTAAGGCGTTACTTTGGAACGCATATGGTCCCGGGTTTTGTAAATTGATGATATATATTAAAAAAAGTAAGTTCATATAGAAAATAAAAGAGTACATAAAAGTCAGATAATGAAAATATAATAAAAGTCAAGAAGTCTGGGGAATAGACAACAGACTTTCCCAAACTTAACAAGAATACAGATTTAAAAAGGAACAAAGCTGTCCAACATAATAAAAGAAAGTACTGCAAAAATGATAACATACTTTATTATAACAGAAACAAAAAGACACAAACATAGGGAATAAAAAGCCTTAGTGCAGTGAGATACTGTAAATATAATTTGTTGTTAAATTGCTAAAACATGACAAAACTGCTCCTAAGTTAAAGGGGACCTATCATGCAAAATGCACTTTTGTACGTCTTTTCTACATGAATATGTGTCCCCGGTGTTCCAGGGAACTCACCAAGTGTCAGAAAACACAACCCTCTCTATTTTCCTCCATACCCAAATCTCTAAAAAAGGGGCTGCAACGGATCTGATACAAACTGATCCAGATTTGAACACTGTCCTGACGTCAGGACGGTGGCGCTACGGCTATTGGGCCAACTCCACCAATCAGGAGGAGACAGCCACGGCCATTGCCGTTCGAAAGCGCTGGAGACGCTGTAGTACATATGCCAGGCCAGTAGGTGGTGCTGTTCTCACAGAATCTGCCCTTGCTAAAACAGATCTAAAAAATGTCAAATTGAGCAAAATGAGGCATGGCTAAAATGCATGATCTGTTTGGTATTTTGAAAAAAAAAAAGTATAAATATGCCTTATATACAGGGGTGCACATAACTGGTATGCAGGTACGCATGCGCGGCAACAATCTGAAATGCGTACCGTCACTTGTATCACAAAGTGCATTTGCGTACCGACGTAAATGTGAAGCTTTTCCAGAAGGCGGTTAGTTCACCGGACGACAGAGTCGGTCTCTGTGTGCACAGACAGGGCTGCTGTTAACGTCGGTCTGTACAGCAGCCCTGCGCTAAAACAGCTGATCACAACGTTCACACGCTCCGCGGTCACGAAGCTCTGTACTCTACTACCACCCCCCACCCCCCCGTTGACAATCGCGAAGCGCTGTACGCTGTACTCCACTGACGCTACCAACCTTAACCCCCCTCCCCCCCGTTGACAATCGCGAAGCGCTTAACTCCACCCCCCCCCCCCCCCCCCCCCGTTGACAATCGCAAAGCGCTGTACTCCACTGACGCCCCCCCCCCCCCTGCTTATATCGTAATGGTCCTACACTATATTATTCAAATATAGCATGATAGGTCCACTTTAAGTTAAGGTAACGTTTCCCGTGTTTCTGGTCCTAAGCAAAGTCTTAAGGATGAAGTTTACTCATAAAAAGCAGCTTTTTGGACCAGAAATGACCAAATAACGAACACCCTGATGACACAGTTCACAGACAGGAAACCCTTTAGCTGTGGGTGGCTCTTTTAATTTCATTGCCAAAGTTTATTGATGGAGGGTTACGTTCTTTCTTTTCCATTAAAGTAAATTGTCCATTCACTCACAAACCTCTCCTCCACTCAGACGGACATCAGAGGCCCGATGCTTTCTGGGAAATGAGTGAGCAATGAGACGTAATGGTCTGTCGTGAACGTCTCATATCCGTTCACTGCTGTGTACGCATCATTAAAAACTTCTTAATCTAAACTTTTATCGTGACTGATGAGCCTCTCAGAGACGGGCTGTTTCATCGACTTCCTGTCAGGAGGCGGGGAATACATCCAGGGACAGAGAGGCGATCTGTACAATCGTTAAGTTATGCTAATTACTGAAGTCAGCACTGGTGTTGGATAAAGAGAGAACTTATTGAACAACTTGTGAGATGAAAAGCGGTCATTTGTCTCCATCCTCAAACCATGTAAGAGGTAAAAGTACCTTGTACAGGACAGTAGACACTAACTTCGTACACCTTTCTTTTTTCAAGGTATTTGTACTTTACTATAGTAGAATATATATTTGTACGACTTTTATTTGCTGTAGGGATCTGCAACTAAAGACTATCATCATTATCGATAAATATGCAGATTATTTTCTGGCATAATCTATTAATCCTTTCGTCAATAAAATGTCAGAAAATAATGAGCAATCTCCATCCCTCCCCCTCAAAGTCGAAGGCGCATGTTTTACAGGCTGCTTTACAAGCTTTAGGTACTTTTCAGATCGAGATATTGGAAACAAAACGTGTGATTGAGTATAAAATCAGATTTAATGATGTTGGGTTGAAGATTTAAACACCCCAAAACATATAGAGCATTTTAAATGTGCTCCACCTGAACCAGCTTTAACATAAAAGTGTAATCGCTGTTTCTGCGTTCATAAGTTAATGCTTTGATGAAAGATGGTCCAGTAATATAAAGGAACAGTCCGTCTCTGACAAATATATACAAATAGGATCAACACAAAAGTCTTGTGGCATGGACAAAGTGTGCAAGCCTTGACAAATACATACTTTAACTTTTGCAGCATTTTGTTGATAATACTTAAGAACTTTGCTCAAGTTTAGAATCAGGACTTCAGTTAATGATTTGAAAATGTATTTCAAATATTTTAAAGTGTTTATCCAACTACTTTAATCTCTTCAAAGTCAATCACAGCTATGCAACAAAAGGCAGGTCCATCCATCCATCCATCCATCCATCCATCATCCATCCATATATCATCCATCCATCCATCCATCCATCTATCCATCCATATATCATCCATCCATCCATCCATATATCATCCATCCATCCATATATCATCCATCCATCCATCCATATATCATCCATCCATCCATCCATATATCATCCATCCATCCATCCATCCATCCATCCATCCATATATCATCCATCCATCCATCCATATATCATCCATCCATCCATATATCATCCATCATCCATCCATCCATCATCCATATATCATCCATCCATATATCATCCATCCATCCATATATCATCCATCCATCCATCCATATATCATCCATCCATCCATATCATCATCCATCCATATATCATCCATCCATCCATCCATATATCATCCATCCATCCATCCATCCATCCATATATCATCCATCCATATATCATCCATCCATCCATATATCATCCATCCATCCATATATCATCCATCCATATATCATCCATCCATCATCCATCCATCATCCATCCATATATCAACCAATCATCCATCCATCTATCTATCTATCTATCTATCCATCCATATATCATCCATCCATCCATATATCATCCATCCATCATCCATCCATCATCCATCCATATATCATCCATCCATCCATCCATCTATCTATCTATCTATCCATCCATATATCATCCATCCATCCATCCATATATCATCCATCCATCCATCCATATATCCATCCATCCATCCATATATCATCCATCCATTGATCCATATATCATCCATCCATCCATCTTTCTATCCATTCATCCATCCATATATCATCCATCCATCCATCTCTCTATCGATCCATCCATATATCATCCATCCATCCATCCATATATCATCCATCCATCCATATATCATCCATCCATATATCATCCATCCATCCATATATCATCCATCCATCCATCTCTCTATCCATCCATCCATCCATATATCATCCATCCATCCATCCATCCATATATCATCCATCCATCTCTCTCTATCCATCCATCCAATCAACCAACCAACCAACCATGCATCCATCTATCCATCCATCAATGCATGCATCCATCCATCCAATTATTTATCCAATTATCCAACTTTCCAACTTTCCAAATATCGATATATCTATCCATCTAATTATGCATCCATCCATCCATCTATCCATCCACCCATTTTGTCATCCAACTATCCAATTAAAAAGCAGTATGCCCCTCACCTAGAATGAAGAGTATCTCCACAAGGATGTCACTGACGCTGGGGGGGCTCCTGGGGGCGGAGCTCTCGTCCCGCCCCCCCACCACGGTGAAGCACACGTTGTAGGGAACAGTGACCGCCACGTAGAAGGTCGCCAGCAGAATCAACCAATCCCAGCCGGCCTTGAAGTTGCCGTAGTGGAGGAGGATGAAGCGGGACTTCTGGATCGCTGCTACCTTATACTCTGGGATGGGAGGCTTGTCTCCAAACATGTTCTGATAGGATAACAGGGAGGAAGAGTTAATACAACACAGAGGCGGGAAGTAGTGGAGTACAAATACTTTGTTACTGTACTGAAGTACATTTTTCTGCTATCAGTACTTTACTCCACTACTTATTTTTCTGACGACTTTTTACTTTGACTTCTTACATTTTGAACAAAAATACCTGTACTTTCTACTTCTTACATTTTGAACACAAATACCTGTACTTTCTACTTCTTACATGTTGAACACAAATACCTGTACTTTCTACTTCTTACATGTTGAACACAAATACCTGTACTTTCTACTTCTTACATTTTGAACACAAATACCTGTACTTTCTACTTCTTACATTTTGAACACAAATACCTGTACTTTCTACTTCTTACATTTTGAACACAAATACCTGTACTTTCTACTTCTCACATTTTCCAAACAGGCTGGTTCCTTTAGTTTGAATGTGTGTTTGGTGGCGTGATCATTATTATTTAGAGTCATTGCGTGCCTATTGATTTGAACACGATCCGTGTATCCATCATTTCCTGGTCTTCTCTAAAGAAGAGGGACCAATGAAAACGTTGTCATGTTGCCGTTGTTCAGCATGGAAACATTCATTAGCTAACAATGACATTATTGTTCTATTAATATAAAGGGAGGTCAGGTACTCTTTAAAACAGCTGCTAGTTATGGGTACTTTTTACTGAAGTACATTTCAAAGCCCATACTTCTTTACTTTTACTTGAGTAAAGAAGTTTAGTCAGTACTTCTACTTTTACCAGAGTATTTTTAAACACGAGTATCTGTACTTCTACTTGAGTAAAGGATGTGTGTACTTTTGCCATCTCTGATAAAACATTGCTCATGTTTTTACACCTGCACACAATTACACGCTATTATTCTGAACCTCTTCACGCAGATGCTGGCCTTGTGGAAACCCTCAGAAGTGTGATAGAAATTCCCGTCACGATCTCAAGGTTTCCAACCAGGTCAAGTACTACTACTGTGCTTTGTGTGTGTGTGTGCTTTGTGTGTGTGTGTGTGTGTGTGTGTGTGTGTGTGTGTGTGTGTGCGTGCGTGCGTGTGTGCGTGTGTGTGTGACATTATGATCTTTCTGTTCAATGCAAAATTGCAGCAAAAAAACTGAAGGGTTTTTTAAGTGTGGTATATTGTAGAGAGAAAGCAGGAATAAAATGGTTTCAAGTACCATGGGGAAAGGTTTTTTTATGGCAAGACTTTTAAGATAAACATTGGGAACATTAGTTTAAAATGGATGGTTATCTTGCAATAATTCCCCAATGACATATTACTGTATAATCTGTATGTTATGAAAGGCAATACCTATGTTTTGTGTCCTTAATAATGTTTAGTTTATCACGCTCTTTATTGTAAAAAGGGGTTGCATTGCAAATATCACCAGGAAACACAAATGGTCTTCACATTTACAAAGGTTATACAGCCAAATGTGTGCAAAGAATATCTTTAAAATAATGATTTAACCTATTTTTTATGGCTTTTTCAGACTGTTTAATTTGTTTTTATTATGCAAAACTAACCCTACTGTAGCAAATAAATACCCAACATAATTATCCTTAAAGCCATTCATTCCTCAATAAATGGGCGTCACCCTTGCAGTATACAAACTGCATACTGCATATGTTTGTTTATCACTGACATCAGCAGAAAAGTGTTCTTTCAGCCCAAAGTCAAACAGACGTGAGCTCGCTGCAGATGCCCTTCACACCATCTGCCCACTCCACCGCAGCAGATATAATGTGTGGTGACAGTGGGCCATGATAATAGGTTAGAAAAACCCAGTTGCACCTTGGGAAACAACTACACAAACTACTTTTTGTTGGTAAGAAGTACATAACTTTTTATTCCATCTGGATTAAAAAGAGTCTCAGAAGAATCGTTGTTGTTGTACGACCTGAAGGGGTATTAAAAAGTTGGCTTTTGCATTATTCCTTACCTCTGTGAATAAAGTTATCAGACCAAAGAATAGTACTTAATAATCCAAAGGTAGAAATAATGAGAGGCTTTGGCACGCAATACAACATCTGGCAACCAAGACATGTTGTTACTCCAAAATTATGAGATGAAATAAAATCAGAATACTTAGTTTATCCCGGGGATATTTTTTTATAAATATTTTTATAATAAAGAAATAACATAAAAAAGAATAGACAAAATTCGAAAAGAATACAAATATATATTAAAAATATTAAATTAAATACATTTAAAATATTTATAAAAACACAAGAACCTAAAGTAAAATGTGCACATTGGTTACAAGTTTAACAAACATATATATGTAATACATGTGTTTAATGCACTTGGACACAGAGTTAGAATTTGATCCAGAAAACGTTATCTATTTATTTAAATGTATTTAGAATAAAAGGAAAAAATGATACAAATATAAAACAATGTATATAAAAAATAAAATAAACATAAAATAATAAGAGAATTATAAAATAAATATAAAAAATTATAAAAAAAAGAACTATCATAAAACATGAAATTAAATAAGAACCTTAAAGGTCACCTATCATGCTATTTGTAGGCAATAGCATAGGTCTCAGATATATAAAAATATATAAAAAACATGTCTATGAAGTGTTGCTCAAAATACCAAACAGATCACCCATTCTAGCCATGCCTCATATCCCTCTATTTCACTTCCTGTTTCTAAAGTGCTGATTTTGGGTATAAAGCTTTAAAAAAATAAAAATTGATAAAAAAAAAGGAGGGGTCTGAGCTCATGCGGGACCCGGCAGCTACCGTCTAAACTAAATACTGCCGTGATGAAACGCCATATCATGGATTATCAAGGATTCTCTCTGAAACAGTATGGAGCTCAAAGGCTTTCTCTCTTGCCGGTTATACCACAAGGTGAGTTCCTTTTTATTTCCTGCTTCTTCACACACATGCTCTCCAGTACAGGTTAGCTCTGAGTGTTAGCGATGCTAATGTAAACACCGACCATATTACGTCCAAAACAGTCGGGCATTGTTTCTGATAGCAACGTTTCTGATAGGGCCGTGGGTCCACATTTCAGATATTAGGTCATATCGGACGAAATCTGGATCAGCTCCGTTGTTCCCCCGTTTTTAGAGATTTGGGTACGGAGGAAAAGAGAGAGGGTTTTATTTTCTGACGCTGCGTGAGTTCCCCGACACACCGGGGACACATGTTTATGTAGAAAAGACATCAAAAAGTGCATTTTGCATGATAGGTCCCCTTTAAGTAAAACGTCCACATTGCAATACAATATTAAAACAATATAATATGTAAAATATGTGTTTAAGAAATCTTTGTGCACCTGGAAACAAACTTAGACCAGTTGGTAGACTAGTGTGAACAGATGTAAACAGATGCAGGTGAACTCACGTTGTTGAGCTTCAGTTTGCTCTTGTCTTGTTTCTGCAGGTGTCCTGACAGATGATACAGAACCGCTCTGCTGCGCCGCCGGTTAGTGTTGAACCCTGCAGGGCGAGTGACCTGATGCACCTCCAGGCCCGTCTCCTCGTCTGCGGAGGACAGGGAGACATGTGGAGACAAAGTCAAATCACAACACTGTCAGAGAGTTTATTTTAATATTTTTTTTTACAAGACAAGTGCATACACGTGCAGTGTCACATACACAGAAGACAATAAGGAGCATTTACAAGTAAAGACAAATAACAAATTACAAAATATACATGGAGACAAAAACAGTGTGTGTGTTTGTGTGTGTGTCAGAAAAACCGTGAGAGGGGAGAGAACACACACACACACACACACACACACACACACACACACACACACACACACACACCCACACACACACACACACACACACACACACATTCATGTCTTTATAAGCCCACTTTTCAGATCAATTCAGTGAATTAAAGTTGAGAACTTTGTCTAAACAAATATTGGATGATACAAAAAATGTATTTGCATAACAAGCTTGAAATACACCTTTCATATTTCCCCTTTTTAAAAGCAATCTGAGGCTTCTGTTTTAAGGGATGAGCTGCAAAATAATTAAACGAATCTCTATGGAAAGCTGTGTTTTTTCTCTTAAAGAATATTCAAGTATAAAGCATTATTGAGCTACATTTGATTGATTTTGTTAGCTTATAACTGAACTTATGAGGCAATATACTGTAACTCACCTCTAGCGAGTGGCCCAGCCCTCCGTATATTTGTCTGTTTGTGGCCCTCGGTGAAAAACCAAGCCTCTCTAATCCCAGAGATGGAGCTTTAACAATGATCATTTAAAACCACGAGTGAAGCAGCCTAAAGTCTCATATGGCTCCCTCTTACCATCTGCTCACATGTCTAAGCGTTACATTCCCTTTATGTTAGACTCATACAGTATCTCCTTGTGCCAGCGCTATACTCCTCTGGAGTGTAGGTGTACATATTTGATGTGGTATTGACCTGCTGTCTGCCTTTGTGTCTCTTTATCGACTAAACACTGTATTCTCGAGGTAAAATACGAAGCTCTGGGCTGAGATCCAGGTCTGTGTTTACAGAGCAGAACCAATAATAACCCAACACCTCGTCCAGGTCCCTGTCATTTATTGAATAATAGAAGATACTGTAAGACCATTGTAGGTACAAATTATCCTACAGCAGATACATTAAAGGTCCCCTATTATACTGTTTTTCATCAATATATCACAGGTCTCAGATATATACAGAGCCTGTCTCTGATTGGCTGAAACACCAAACAGATCATTGCAGCATCCCATAATCCCCTCTGTTTCAGCCCTGTTTCCAAAGTGCTGATTCTCTGTCTGTTACTTTAGATGAAAATAAGGAGCCCCTCCCCACGCCCCTCTGAGAGAGATTTGGTTAAAAAGAACTCAATGGTGCTCTAGGAGGAGATTCAGGTGATAAGGTGGGGGGGGGGGGGGTTACCTTGGTTGCTGATTGGCTAATGGTTACACAAGACAAAACATCGTTATGACATCATAAAGTGGCCCAAATCTGATCAGCTCATTTTCAGACAGGTTTTTATAGAAATGGATCAGGACAAAAAGAGAGAGAATCTTTGTTCCTGAAACTTCCAGAGGTCTCTTTACACAGAGGGACACATGTTGATGAAGAAGAGACATGAAGAAGAGGGGGACACATGTTGATGTAGAAGAGACATGAAGAAGAGGGGACACATGTTGATGTAGAAGAGACATGAAGAAGAGGGGACACATGTTGATGAAGAAGAGACATGAAGAAGAGGGGACACATGTTGATGTAGAAGAGACATGAAGAAGAGGGGACACATGTTGATGTAGAAGAGACATGAAGAAGAGGGGACACATGTTGATGTAGAAGAGACATGAAGAAGAGGGGACACATGTTGATGAAAAGAAGAGACATGAAGAAGAGGGTGACACATGTTGATGTAGAAGAGACATGAAGAAGAGGGGACACATGTTGATGAAGAAGAGACATGAAGAAGAGGGGACACATGTTGATGTAGAAGAGACATGAAGAAGAGGGGACACATGTTGATGAAGAAGAGACATGAAGAAGAGGGGACACATGTTGATGTAGAAGAGACATGAAGAAGAGGGGACACATGTTGATGTAGAAGAGACATGAAGAAGAGGGGACACATGTTGATGAAGAAGAGACATGAAGAAGAGGGGACACATGTTGATGTAGAAGAGACATGAAGAAGAGGGGACACATGTTGATGTAGAAGAGACATGAAGAAGAGGGGATACATGTTGATGTAGAAGAGACATGAAGAAGAGGGGACACATGTTGATGAAGAAGAGACATGAGAAGAGGGGACACATGTTGATGTAGAAGAGACATGAAGAAGAGGGGACACATGTTGATGAAGAAGAGACATGAAGAAGAGGGGACACATGTTGATGTAGAAGAGACATGAAGAAGAGGGGGACACATGTTGATGAAGAAGAGACATGAAGAAGAGGGGGACACATGTGATGTAGAAGAGACATGAAGAAGAGGGGACACATGTTGATGAAGAAGAGACATGAAGAAGAGGGGACACATGTTGATGTAGAAGAGACATGGAGAAGTGGGGACACATGTTGATGTAGAAGAGACATGAAGAAGAGGGGACACATGTTGATGTAGAAGAGACATGAAGAAGAGGGGACACATGTTGATGTAGAAGAGACATGAAGAAGAGGGGACACATGTTGATGAAGAAGAGACATGAAGAAGAGGGGACACATGTTGATGTAGAAGAGACATGAAGAAGAGGGGACACATGTTGATGTAGAAGAGACATGAAAAAGAGGGGACACATGTTGATGTAGAAGAGACATGAAAAAGAGGGGACACATGTTGATGTAGAAGAGACATGAAGAAGAGGGGGACACATGTTGATGTAGAAGAGACATGAAAAAGAGGGGACACATGTTGATGTAGAAGAGACATGAAGAAGAGGGGACACATGTTGATGTAGAAGAGACATGAAGAAGAGGGGACACATGTTGATGTAGAAGAGACATGAAAAAGAGGGGACACATGTTGATGTAGAAGAGACATGAAGAAGAGGGGACACATGTTGATGAAGAAGAGACATGAAGAAGAGGGGACACGTGTTGATGTAGAAGAGACATGAAGAAGAGGGGACACATGTTGATGTAGAAGAGACATGAAGAAGAGGGGACACATGTTGATGTAGAAGAGACATGAAGAAGAGGGGACACATGTTGATGTAGAAGAGACATGAAGAAGAGGGGACACATGTTGATGAAGAAGAGACATGAAGAAGAGGGGACACATGTTGATGTAGAAGAGACATGAAGAAGAGGGGACACATGTTGATGAAGAAGAGACATGAAGAAGAGGGGACACGTGTTGATGTAGAAGAGACATGAAGAAGAGGGGACACATGTTGATGTAGAAGAGACGTGAAGAAGAGGGGACACATGTTGATGTAGAAGAGACATGAAGAAGAGGGGACACATGTTGATGTAGAAGAGACATGAAGAAGAGGGGACACATGTTGATGTAGAAGAGACATGAAGAAGAGGGGACACATGTTGATGTAGAAGAGACGTGAAGAAGAGGGGACACATGTTGATGTAGAAGAGACATGAAGAAGAGGGGACACATGTTGATGTAGAAGAGACATGAAGAAGAGGGGACACATGTTGATGTAGAAGAGACATGAAGAAGAGGGGACACATGTTGATGTAGAAGAGACATGAAGAAGAGGGGACACATGTTGATGGAGATTCAGGTGATAAGGGGGGGGGGGGTTACCTTGGTTACTGATTGGCTAATGGTTACACAAGCCAAAACATCGTTATGACATCATAAAGTGGCCAAAATCTGATCAGCTCATTTTCAGACAGGTTTTTATAGAAATGGATCAGGACAAAAAGAGAGAGAATCGTTTTTCCTGAAACTCTCAGAGTCTCTTTACACAGAGGGGACACATGTTGATGTAGAAGAGACATGAAGAAGAGGGGACACATGTTGATGTAGAAGAGACATGAAGAAGAGGGGACACATGTTGATGTAGAAGAGACATGAAGAAGAGGGGACACATGTTGATGTAGAAGAGACATGAAGAAGAGGGGACACATGTTGATGTAGAAGAGACATGAAGAAGAGGGGACACATGTTGATGTAGAAGAGACATGAAGAAGAGGGTTTTCATAATAAGTGACCTTAAAGGGAGTTTTTTTCTGTGAAGCCGTCATCAAGTAGGAACATCTTTTTCTTGCCCTCTCCATTTCCACTTTTCATTTCCTATTACGATTGGTTTGATTGTCCCTCTGTCCGTCCATTATATGATGCCACGCTTAACCAAATCAGTTTCATATTCGGCCAGTAAATTTGATTTGTACATCAGATCATGGATAGATTTCAAAAAGTGAAAAGAAACGAACCACTGCTGCTGGGACTCTCTATTTCTTTCTGTTTGTACCCTAACGTTTTAGGTTATTTACAAGTCCAATACCAACCAAGATTTGGCAAAAACAAGGTGTCTATTTTCTGTCTGCACCATTATTTGTTATGACAGACGTTAATAGGGTTGTTATGCTGCAGTGTGAATCTAATAAGACAATGTTTTTTTATGACACTTTAAACCAGAAACAATAGATGCAAAATGGTGGCTCTGTTATTCTGTAAGCCCCACTGTGTAAAATATTATGGTGACATTATTACGACATATTCTAGCCCTCTTTATGTATCACTATCTTGCAATTAACTTTTTGTATTACATTTGTATTTTTTAGCTTGATAGCATCTGTCTACCATTCATATGTTTAACCTGTTAAGCCCCAAAGCCCCCGTCGGCGGGTCTTTTTTTTTTTTATTAATTTTTTTTCTTTTTCTTTGAATGGAATGAATACCTATGGTGATAATTCAATGTAATACATCATTTTTATAGTCTGGTACCTGAAAAAGGTCAAATGGCACTGATGGAACCAGATGTACCCAAATGTGCCGAAAGCTTATTCCGCCTGGAACTTCTTTTGCTAAACCTCTCTAAAAAAGTCAAATTTAACTTGTTTTGCCTCAATCTTGATACATGGTA